TAACATACTAAAAAACAAAAAGATAAGCATTCAAGAAGCTCAATGAACCCCAGAAAGGATAAACCCCAAAAGAAAATCGCCAATACATATCATAATCAAGCTCTCCAAAATCAAAGATAAGGAGAGAATCCTGAAAGCAGCTAGGGAAAAGAGAAGGGTTACCTACAAAGACAAGCAAATAATATTAAGCTCTGATTTTCATCAGAAATCATGCAGGCAAGAAGGTAATAGGGAGACATTTATATAGCCCTGAAAGAAAAAAAACTGTCAACCAAGATTGTCCACCCAGCAAAGCTGTCAATTAAATACAATGGTGTAATAAAAATATTCCAGGATAAACAGAAGCTAAGGGACTTTGTCAAAGCCAACCCAGTGCTTCAAAAATATCTTAAAAGAGTTCTTTGGATTGAGAACCAACAAGAATAGACAACAACCAGAGATTGATATATGTGGCAACAACACCCAGAATTCAATTGACAGATGGAAAAGTCCAGGACAGAACATTAACAACAAAACGAATTTAGAGGATCTGGGAGGTCAGTCTATGATCAAAACAATTACAATGTGAAAGAAGGTAAAAATATAGCAACAGAGGTCCAGGTGATGAGGAAGTGAGGTAGTTTGCAGGGTAAAATAGACTGTTTTAAATGGACCAAAAAGTTGATAGAATATAGGGTAACCTCAATGAAAATTATTCTTCACAACATACCAAGAAAATGAAAATCCAAGAAGTACACGGAAACACTAAAAATATGAAGCTTAAGAAAAGATACCATACTAAAAGAAAGAAAGAAAGAAATTCTTTGTTGGCTGCCAGGGATGGGAGGGAGGGCACGGTAGAACACAGTTTAGGGGATAGACACATCATAGTTCAGGTGTTGGGGAGGACAATACACAAGAAGGGGGAAGTGGATGGAAGAACAAGGTAGCTAGGGGAACACTTAGGCAGGTTTGCATGGGCTAAATAGTACAGAGGGAAACAGTGATGTGTTTTCAACCTTGGAACAACAGGGCTCTGTGATACAGGGATCGAGGCCTAGCCTGAAGGGGTAAAAGAAGAGAAATAATATTAAGATGCTGGACTGTCTTATGACGTTGGTTTCCCTTGTCTACTATTGTAAAATAGACACTTGATTGGGAAAGAAAGGAATATCAGGAAACATAATTCCAGAAAAATTGTAAATCCATCTTCAGCCTACTGAATGGAATACATAAAAGGGGTTCTAGAACTTCTCCAGTAAAACAGGTCTCTTGCAGAGCCTTTGTAATGTATAGGACCTTAGGTGGAATCCTGAGCCCCATCCAGAACCTTCTGAGGTAGGACATTCCCACTTGAAATGATAATGCAAACCAGCCTGGAGCAACTAGAGGAACAGAAGATATTTCTTGAAAATAAGACCAGCAGGAAAAATCGAAAACAAAAATGGCAGTCTGATTGACTAGAGAACAAACAAGCTTTCTGCCAGGGAGCCATCAAGGTGAGTAATCAAGTCTCTTCAAGACAACCCTCCTTTATGACTGAAATTCAAAGGAAACATATGAGCAGGCATGTAAGCTTGCTGGCAACCACGTTGGTTGACTGGGGAGTAGAAGGGAAAGGTATCAATGAAGATGTAAGCTGATTCGACCATGTTCCATAGACTCCTGTTCACCTGGAGATGAGAGAAAGAAGATGAAGGGATGTTTGGTCCAAAATGTGGTGAGACCTGACGACTCCTAAGCCCATGGAAAACGGCCTAGCCACAGAGGAATAGAGCCGAGAGTGAAATGGCCAGCTGATATGAAGTGAGGAGAGATGCACAAGAATGCCCAAACTTGAAGACAGTACCTATTTGACCTAACTTCGATGACTTGATCAGAATTCAAGGAAGATTAAAAAAAATTATAAAGGAAATAAGTATAAATTGCTGCAATTTGATGAATTTGACCTATACTTATGGATGTAGTAGCTCAAAATACCAACAGAGAGGGTAGGAGACTTCATATCAGGAATCAAACATACCCTCACTGTACACAGGATTGATGGGGATGGGCAACTTAGACATTGGCTACCTAAAATCAGGGAGCTATAAAGGCATAAAGTGGTTGGCTTACAAGTTTTCAAGAGGGAGTTTAGTTTCAGAGTAGGGAAAAGTAGAGTCCTCACTGAATAGCTTTCATCTTGTCTAGATGGGTCTGGTGAAACGAGATGGTGAAAAGATTCTTATGGTTCAATAGTGAGTAATTGTTATCATGACTAATTGCAATTGTCACAACTGTAAAGGTAGAAGTTTTGTAACATGGAAGGGGAGTAGTAAATCTTATATTCCAGAAACAGAGGACCCTAGGACCATCAAGGGAGAAGAGTATGAGCTGAATGTTGAACCTACCCAGAGAAGCAGCGGCACCAGAGATAGAAGCAAAGATGATGGCATGGAGAGATACAGCAGCTGAGGACTCCAGACTCATGGAAGGAGGAAGATTGTGGGCTGGTGGCCAGGAGGCTGGCTTGCAGGATTTGCCCTTGGGTTGTTTAAATGATTATATATTCCTGAGTGTTTTTGTGTACATAAAAAAAAAAAAAAAAAAACCAGGGACTAGAAGCAAATACTGTTGAATGGTGATGCATGGAGGGGATCATAATTATTGCAATGATACAACATACAATAGGATGCGTGCAAAACTGATGTTCTACCATGTAAATTAAGGAGCTCTGGTAGCGTAGTGGTTACGAATCGGGCTGCGAACCTTAAGGTCAGCGGTTCGAAACTACCAGCCGCTCCGCGGGAGAAAGATGAGGCTTTCTACTCCCGTAAGGATTTACACCCTCGGAAACCCTGTACAGGGTCGCTATGGGTCGGAACCGACTCGACGGCACTTAACAACAACAACAACACCATGTAAATTATCACTCAGTGCACAATAAAAGCTTTAAAAAATAAATCCTATGGTATACAGCTCTACTCTAACACGTGGGTTCGCCATGAGTCAGAGTAGACTCGACAGCCACTATTTATTTATTTCATTATTCATATAAATATAAATGTGTGTTTTTGTTTTTTGTTTTTTCAAAAAAATAGCCATGTGATATAGAAAAAGCATATGATATCGAAGGAAGAAATGCACGGTGCATTGACATCATTGTTATTTGTTCCCATAAATGATAAGAATGTCTCATAGGGATTAGAGAAAGACTCATTAACAACCTGTAATATGTAGATGATACAAGCTTTCTTGCTGAAAGTGAAAAGTACCTAAAATCCTTGCTGGTGAAGATCAAAGAGTACATTCTTCAGTATACGTTGTACCTCAATATAAACAAAACAAAAATCCTCACCACTAGAGTAATAAATAACACATGATAAATGGAGAAAAAAGATTGAAGTTGTCAAAGATTTCATTCTGCTTGAATTCGCAATCCCATGGAAGCAGCAGTAAAGAAATCAAATGATGTGTTGCATTAAGCAAATCTGTTGCACCAGAACTTTTCAAAACATTGAAGAGCAAAGATGTCAATTTAAGGACTGAGGTATTTCTGATCCAAGCCATGGTATTTTCAATATCCTCACATGTATGTGAAAGTTGTACAATGAATAAGGAATACCATAGAGGAATTGATGTATTTGAATCATGGTGTTGGAGAAGAATATTAAAATTACAGTGGACTGCCAGAAGAACAAAAAAATCTGTGCTGGAGACGTACAACCAGAATGTTCCTTAGAAGCCAAGATGGCCAGACTTTGTCTCTCATGCTATGGGCATATTACCAGGAGGGAATAGTCCTTGGAGAAGGACAACATGATAGGTAAAGTAGGATAGTGAAAAAGAGTAAAACCCCAATGAGATGGAGTGGCACAGTGGCAGCAACAATGGACTCAAACATAGCAATGATAGTGAGGTTGACACAGGACCAGCCAGTGTTTCAATCTGTTGTACACAGTGCCACTATTAGTCAGTAATATATCGATGGAACTAACAACAAGATTAGAATATTTACTGTTTTAAATGTTTCCTATATTTCAGTGTCTTTTTTATGTTGTAAGGTTTTTTGTTGTTTGTGGTGGTTTTTCAAATTTCAGAGACAGCGTGTTTATTTATTGATCAATTTTGCTATATTTGTTTTCTCGTCATCTTCTGCTTTCATCTTTATAAATTTAGGATTTACTTTAAAATCCCCTTTAAAATAACCACAAAATGAATGAAATTAGACTATTTTTTTCCATAAGAGTTATCCAAAATTTAGTAGCTTAATGGAATTAAAAAATAATCAATTTTTTCACATTAGTATTTGAAGCCCCTTGTATTTATTTGGTATGTTTTTTTTTCATCAAGGCCAATCATATTGTTTTATTTATCTTTGTTATATTTTGTCTTAAATTTCTATAGAAAAGTCCATTCACTATTTTCTTTAAGAGTTTCGGACTATTTTTTGCTATTTTGAATTGCCACTTAAATATATTTTGGAGTCAGTTTGTCAATTCTTCTCAACTTATCCCAGAGAAGAGATACCATTTTAATCAGAATTATGTTAATATTATTTGGCTCTTCTGGGGTTATTCTCAAAAAAATTCTGACACAGTTATAAAGATATGAAAAATGGTATCCAGGGATATGGATAATGACCATAAAACGAACAAGATGTGAATGAGGATATTGGTTAAGAGATTCTATCCAAGGATAGGTGATGGAGACATGAATGAGAAGGACCAATCAGAAAATCATTTAAAAGGGAAAATTGACTCGATTTTCTGAATAAATGTATGTAAGTGTTACAAAAAAAGCAGAGCTTGGGAAACGCCTATCTGGCTTGCTCTCATCTGGAGAACTGTTGAAAGGAAGACAGCTCTGTTGTGGGATAAAACCAGGGTCCAAATTAACTAGCTGAATTGTTCTCTATAGTCCACATGGATTTTTTTTTAATTACTAGACATATTGAGTACTATCATGTTCAGCAGTACCACTATGAAAATTAAAATGAAGCATTGACAAATTAGAGGAAAACAGCAGGATGGTGACTATACCTCATCAAAATGAAGTGTTCCATTCAAAGGACTGAGATCATCTTTAGCCATCTCATCTATGGTCCATTGAAGTTGGACAGCTCCTTTTCCTCCTGGAGACCGGACAACCGTTAATGTCACATAAGAATCAGTATCATCAGACAACAGGGATTCATCAACCATTACCTGAAAAGAAGAAAGAAGAGAAAAGAAAAACTCTAGCATGGTGTAAAAGGAGGAGAAACAAGTTAAATATCATTTTTAAGATTATCATAATTGCAACTTTTAAGTTTAGAATTCTATTTACAGTATGTTGCAATATATGGCAGAAAAAAATGATTCAACAAATCCCATTTCTTTTTTGCCCTAGATACTTTGGTAGGCAGCATTCCCTATCCTTTCTTGCAATTAGGTGGGGCTAGAAGATGGAATTCTGGAAACAGAATATAGGTAGAATCAATGTATATCAACAGCAGTCTTGCCATAAATTTCCCTCGCAACCTTCTCATTCTCTCTCCATGTGCCACATGGAGACAACTCCAACAACCTAGAAGAACAAGAGATTCAAGATGCAAGGTCCTTAAGTTGCCTCTTTGAGGAGAGATTTTACAAAAGAACCACCCAACCAGGTATGCTGGCATCGGAGACTTTTAAGAGGAAGAAATAAACTGTGATTATGTTAAGGAACTAAAATTGGGGAGTTCTTTGTTAAGGTATCCAAGCTTTTTGTATAAGAGAGATATAAGTCAACCTCTAAATTATCAGCAATTACCATAACTTGAAGTAAAAAGAGATTTTATTAACCTGATATAATGAAAAGGATGATTTTGTAAGTTAATTTATCTGTACCATTACCATTCTTGGAGTCATGCTGTGGTACTGTAGAATAAGCACTGGACTAAAGGTTGGTTTGAACCACAAGGTCGGAAGTTCAAACATACCAGTCACTTCTCAGAAACCCTACACAAGGTCACTTGACTTGGAATCAACTCAACAACACTTAACAATAACAACAATATTTCTTTTATTTGTAGTCCTGGTGTCATGCTGTAGTATAAGCAGTGGACTGCTAACAGCAAGGTCAGCAGTTCGAACGCACCAGCTGTTCTTCAGAAACCCTATACAGATTCACGATGAGTCAGTACTTACTCAACAGCACTTAAGTACAACATTACTATTATTTAAGGATTCTTGGTGGTGGTGTAGGTTAGGCATTGGGTTGCTAAGCACAATGTCAGAGGTTCAAACTCACCAGTTGCTCTGTGGGAGAAAGATGAGGTTATGTGTCCCCATAAAAATTTACACTCTTGAACATCTTATAAAGGTTTACTGATAATCGCAATCAACTTGATGAGAATGGGTTTTATTGTTTTTATTGAACAACTTGGTTCAACAGAATTATCTATACTGACTCTGTGGTGCAAACTGCAATTGAACCTATACTACCCACTGTTGTTGTTGTTGTTGTTGTTAAGTGCTGTCAAGTTGATTATGACTCAGTGACCCTGAGTCATAGAGTTTCCAAGGTACAACTGGTGGGTTTGAGCCACCAATATGAGTTCCCAAAATGAAGATGACTAATTATTGTTTAGAGCACTATAGTAAATGACAGCAGTAAGATAAACTGAACAAACAAAATTTAGTAGTATATCAGATTCTTCACTTTCCCAACAGTGAGAGGAGAGGTATGGAAATACATTGTTCAACAGCCAACTCCAAACACATGACAAAGTTAAAAGAAACACATTTTTATAAGTTTTCATCAGTCTGCAGTTTGAATACTAAACCTTAAACCTTTTTATCTAACTTGAGAGGCTAATAGAAACAGACTATAAAACAAATTATACATTTATATGCATTAAAATACTTCTTTTCAAGTATGCAAGAAACAAAGAATGGATGAAAATACTATACAATAATAATAATAGTCATTACGGCATGGAGCTCCTTGCTTATACAAACAGTTAAGACAATTGGATGCTAGCGGAAAGGTTGGATGTTCAAATACCCCCAGTGATATATTGGAAGAAAGTTCTAGTGATTCACTTCTGAAAAATCAGCCATTAAAAACGCCATGGAACACAATTCTTATCTGACTCACATAGGTTGCCATGAGCCTAAATCAACTCCACAGCACCTTGAAAGCAAAAATTTCAGGATACTAATATTCTAATACTTCTGGGGTTTTTGTTTCTTTATATTTTTTTTCATTTCCCACACTTTTATGTTGCTTAAGAGATATTCAACGTTTTTCTTCTGACCTTACCACTTCTTATATTTACCTGTGCTTATGCCTTTCCCAAAGAAGAAGAGTTTTATTAACCTATAGCAGAAATATGTTCCACTCTTTTCAGACTTCCAAGTTCTTTTAAAATTAAAATTTGAATGGCAAAATAATTACACAATAATTAGGTTATATTCACATTTTGGAGCATTTGAACAAGACACAGTTCTGACAGCAAGTTCAGCTCTAGCCTTATAGTCACAAGTTTAAGAGTAGTGACAATAATGGATATTAGAACAACATGTTTACTAATAAAAATGGTGAACTTCTAATTATCTATAAAGTAAGTAAATAAGGCTAATGGTGATAAAGTTGTTGAGTATTTGGGAACCTATCTAAACACTTTTACTATTATTTTATCATAGAATTTCCTTTGAAAGGTAAATTCATAATAATTATAACATTAGCATCATATAATAGTAACTATAATGTAGTTTAATATAATTCTTTATTTGCTATTGAAAATATAGAGAAAATTTACTACTCATTGCCAAACCTGGCTTCGGAAATATTTCATTCCTATGATTGGTTAAATTTTGTTTTTCCTCTAAGTAGTTGAACAAATACTAATTGGGTTCCCTCTTTCAGGTCTTAGAAAAAAAACAAACAATAAAAAGTAAGAAAGAAGAAAGAGAGAAAAAGACAGAATTACATGTGCTAGGGTGATTGATTCATTTAAAGACAAGGTGGCACAGTAAACAGAAGCACCAAGCCCACCCTTTGCAACAAAGACCTGAGAGACCAAGTAAAACAGATAAGGATGTGATCCTGGAACTCTGAACTTCAGACAACAGGACAGAGGGTGAATTGAGTACTGACTGGAAGAAGAAGCTGAACAGCAACAGTGAGAGAAAAGAAAAAAGAGTGGATTGTGGGCTACTGTGGAACAGCATGACCATCTTGAGCCCTTGCAAGAGGATGTCTGCACTGCAGCCTGTGGGCAAGGTGATGGCTGGAAGCTGGTGACAGGGATGCAGCCAGACCCTGAACATGCCAACTCAGTGGCCACTGGCACCTCCTCTTGTACAGCCTTTGCTCTGCTGGGGTCAGACACCTGGCATAGTGATCCTTACTCTGGAGGCACAGAAGCACACACTAGAATACACTACACAAACCGTGAACAGAGAACTAACTGCATTTACACTCCTGGTCTCTATCACATTCACCAGGAAACAGGTGGTAAAGGCCTGAGAATACACCAATATACAATCAACAACTATATATAAACGTTGTTGTTAGGTGCCGATGAGTTGGTTTCAACCCATAGAGACCCTATTGTACAACAGAATAAAATCCACCTGGTTCTGCGTCATCCTCACAACTGCTGCCACTGTGCCAATCCACTTTACCAAGTATGATATCCTTCTCCAGGGACTGTTCCCTTCTCACAATATGTTCAAAGTATGAGAAACAAAGTCTGACCATCTTGGCTTCTAAGGAATATTCTGATTGTACTTCTTTCATCACAGATTTGTTTGTTCTTCTGGCAGTCCATGATACATTAATATTCTACTCCAACACCATAATTCAAATGCATCAATTGTTCTATAGTATTCCTTAGTCATTGTCCAACTGTCTTTCACACGGCATATGAAGCTACTTAAAATACCATGGCTTGGGTCAGGTGCACATTTGTCTTCAAGCTGACATCTTTGCTCTTGAGCATTTTAAAAATGTCTTGTGAAGCAAATTTGCCTAATGCAATATATCATTTGATGTCTTGATTGCTGCTTCCATGAGTGTTGATTGTGGATGCAAGCAGAATGAAATCTTTGACAACTTCAATCTTTCTCCATTTATCATGATATTATTTATTACTCCAGTGATGAGGATTTTTGTTTTTTTTATATACTGAGGTACAATCAATATTGAAGACTGTGATCTTTGATCTTCTTTTAAGTCCTCTTCACTTTCAGCAAGCAAAATTGTATCATCTACATATCACAAGTTGTTAATGAGTCTTCCTCCAATCCTGCCACATTTTTTCTTCACATAATCCAATTTATAGTATTATTTGCATACAGATTGAATAAATATGGTGAAAGAATACAACTCCTTTCCTAATTTTAAACCATTCAGTGTTCCCTTCTTCTGTTTTAACAACTGTCTCTTGGTCTATGTATAGGTTCCTTATGAGCACAATTAAGTGTTCCAAAATACTAATTCTTGGTAATCTTGTCCATAGCTTGTCATGATCCACACAGTCGAAAGCCTTCGCATAGGCAATAAAGCACAAGTAAACATCTTTCTGGAATTCTCTGCTTTCAGCCAAGTTCCATCTAACATCAGCAATGATATCTCCAGTTCACTGTCCTTATCTGATTATAACACCACAACATCTCAGTGAAAATAGACAATTCCAGCTTAGAGAAAGAAACAAGACAGAGTGCCTCAAACAAGTCACCAAAATACAGTCAGAAATATAACACCAGAAATTATATCAGAACTATCTGATAATGAATTTTAAATAATGTTACTTAGGCAATGTCAACAGATTAAAAGATCAAGGGACACATGGATAAACTATGGTGGGGAAAGTCATGAAACACACTAACAAAATAAGTGAGAAACATAAAATCAGCCATTAGAAAACCAGATTAACAATAAGATTTCAAAAATAGAAGACACATTGAGAGGGTAAAGAAAAAAAAATTATATCAGTGGAAAACCAAATAGCTGCACTTAAAAAAAATATCTCTTAATAATCACCTGCTAGATGAGCAATTTTAATTTTTTTTACATTCTAGGTAATGTTTAGTAAAAAATTGATTTAGAAATCTATATGCCTAAATAAAAAACCTAGATAAGCAATTTTTATAAAAAGAACGAACAAAAAATCTTTAAGACTAATATTTATGTGGATACTATCAAGAGGAATAACTTACATGTGATTGGAACTCTAGAACAGGTAGATACATTAAAAAAAAAAAAAAAAAAAAACCATAAAGACTATTGTCCAAGAGTTTTTGGAGAAAACTTCCCTAACATCATGAAAGGTTAGAAGATAGGCACTCAAGAATTTGAATGAACTCCAAACAGTATAGATTCCAAAAGAAAAAATACCAACACATACTATAATTAAACTTTTTAGAACCAAAGACTAGGAAAGAATCCTAAAAGCAGTTTAGGAAACATGAAAAGTTACCTACAACAGAGAACTAATAAAACTATGTTTTGATTTCTCATAAAAAATCATGCAGGCAAGAAGACAATGGAATCACATATATAAAACTCTAAAACAAAAAAAAATGTCAACCAAGAATCATGTATTCAGCAAAACTCTCCATCAAATATAACAGCAAAATTAAAAGAATTTGTAAAAATCAGCAGCCTTACCAAAAATACTAAAGGGATTTCTTTGGAGAACCAATAGCAACATAAAACAACCTGAAATTAACATACATGACAATATCACCCAGATATGTGGTGGTGGTGATGGATGTGTGCTGTGGAGTTGGTTCCAACTCACAGCAACCCTGCATAGGGTTTCTGACACTGTAAATCTTTACGGGAGCTGAAAGACTCAACTTTCTCCTGCAGAATGGCAGTTTTGAGCTGCTGATCTTGAGATTAGCAGCCCAACTCGTAACCACTACGCAAACAGAGTTTCTTTATTGAAGTATGCAAAGAAAAACAGACCTATAAGACTGCAAAGAAAGAACAAGAGATACAGTTGCAACAAAAGCAACAACAAAAAAAAAACTCATATAGTAAAAAGAGGGAATAATCCAGTTACAGATCTTCCAAATTAAGAAGAAATCGATTTCAAGAAAAATGAATAAATAGGTAAATAAAAAATAAGCCTAACCCCCCAAACTAGACCAAACCTTACCCATAGACCTAGCCCAACCCTCACCCCTAACAGTAACACTAGGCCTAACCATAACCCTAGCTATAACTCCTTACTCCTACCCACCCACACCAAAATAAACTTTAAAAAAAATTCCAAGGTACAGTACAAATCAATCATTAAATTCTGTCATTAAATTCATTCTGATAGGACAGAGTCAACTTGCTCTATACAATTTCCCAGACTGTAATTATTTATAGATGCAGATTGCCTCATCTTTCTATTGAGGGAAGGCTAGTGGGTTTGAACTGCTAGCCTTGTGGTTAATAGTCCAATGTGGTTAACACACTCTACCACCAGGGGTCCTAGATAGAGTACAAGAAGTGTATGTAATATAAATCCCTCTCTAGCTAAACCCATCCTGGGTATAACACCCAGACTATGACAGACCCCTATCTTGTTACCATTATGATGATCTGACAGTAGGGCAGGAAGATAGTAAAGGGAAAATAAAAGAATAAAAATAAAACCCATTGCCACTGAGTCCATTCCAACTCATAGCAATCCTACAGGACAGAGTACAATTGCCCTATAGAGTTTCCAAGGCTGAATTCTTTACAGAAGCAAACTGCCACATCTTTTTCCCCATGAGTGGCTGGTAGATTCAAACCTCCACAGCACTAAATAGGAATCTGTCTCTCTGTATAAAAGCTCTAGTTACTATCAGACTATGTGTGTAAGTTAAAGGATAAAAACCAGTTCCTAAATCACTTTTGTTGTATACTATTTAGCCAATACTGATTCATAATGACTGCATAAGACAGAGCAAAACTACTCCATAATATTTTATAGACTGAAATGTCTACGGGAGGTAATACACTAATCAACTCAAAAGTGACTTGGGAAGAGAATCATATGTCACAGGTAATGAAGAATTTTTTTTAAAGTTAAATACACCTTCATATAAATATTTCATGAAAAAAAGTTAAAAGTCTATTAAAGGGGAGAACAAACAAGATGGCGGATTGGGTGGACGTATAGCAGAGAGCTCCGCCAACAACAACACAGAATACCTGACCAAGCAGGCACAGGGGATGGTCCCAGAACTCTGAACCACATATAAAGGAATACTTAGAAGGTTGGAAGACTCATAG